ATATGTCTACAAAAGATTATAGCATATGGTTGGTAACATCATTTTTTAAATTGTTGAGCAAAACTGATTTAAATGGCAAACTACAAGTGTAGAAGTCGGAACCTGAGCATTTTATCCTCGACTTTGCCACTGATTTATTGTGAGACCTGAGGCGCTTAATTAACCTCGGCTGTCTCCATCTGTACTACAGAGATAACAAAAATATAGGTTAAGTCCTTGAGACCTATGGGAAAAGAATGCTCTACGAGTTTTATTAAACTTCTCTGCAAAACAAGAAATGTTCGACATCTGCGAGAAGAAGCCACAAGCCAATCCAGTGTATATGCAGCGTGCAGTGTCCTGGGTATCCTTCTCTCCACCTATTTTCCACTGTTTGCTAAGTACAACCAACTGTACCGGTATCAACGCGTGGTGTTGCATTCTATGCCATTTGCAAAGAAACAATAAACTCCAACTATTGGTCTGACTATGCCACTACGTACTTAGAATTGCACTTGCTATTTATGTTCTGATCAACTGGCCAAAGAGACAAAAAACCAATCCTGTGACAATGTCTTGCTTAATGCAAAAGGAAATTCAACGATTTTGTTTTATGCTTCCTTAAAAACACATTTCTTAAAAAACTAGAGCTCCATTTTAAAATAAAAGCATGAAACATGTTTATTTTGAAGTGAATGACGCTGAATAAATCCATTTTAAAAAATAATTTGCCTGAAACTATTTGATATATTCATATAAATTCACAATTTGTTTTGGTTGAACAGAGTATACTTTTTCTTTTCTTTTCTTTTCTTTTCTCTGAGTAGTTTTGCTACTCTCACTCCTAGCTCAAGAAGGTGCAGGAGAAGCAAGGTGTTGCTACTAACTGTCAAGAGCTCAGGGCGTAACACAAGATTCCTCATGGCTAAGCATGGGCGAGGACAATTCCCATTGCTGCTGTATTTATCTTTTCTTATGTTTTTATTTTGCTCTGCATTTCTTCTAGTTTATATATTTTCCTGGTGCCTCATTCTAAAACATAAGGATGCCAGTCTCTGAACACACTACCCAGTAGAAACGTTTCCTTATAGACTGAATGTTCAAAGTGCAAACTGGCGAGAGAGAGAACATAGCAGCACCATGAACATAAAACTCAGGATTTAACATATTCACCAGCCCTGCTCTCATAGAGGCATCTCTACTGCCAGGTTGTCACCTAGCCCCTCTGTCCTTCTGTGTAGAACACACATGACAGTACAGCAGGGTAAGAGCGTGCAAGCATACAGCTAAGCTCTTAATCCACCAGCAGTGCAGTTGTTTTATACAGACCATGTTTTTTTAGAAAACTGAAGCAACTTGCATGCCTACAAGTAACACGATATTCAGCACCTAAGAGATAACAATCTAATAACCTACTATTCTTCAGCAGCAATCTGTATCCCAGTTGCAGTCCCCAGTTTCACACTATCCTTACTCTTCTAGACTATTAAAAAACAGAAGTCAAACACCAAATACTAATCCTGATGCTACGTATTCAGATCTGTTTATTATTATTGGGTGTAGATTCAAGAGCACTAACATTGAACTAATAAAACAGGATGCACTTGTGGCGTTTTTGTTCCCTACCATACTGAAGACAAGGTCTTACCCAAACTTTCTGACCTTAGTAAATAGCCATAGCATTAGGAAGAAGAATGTTAGGTAGCTATCACAGTCTTTCCTACATGTGTAGTAGGATGGGTCCTGCTTGGAAAAAAACATGAGACCTGTTGGTCAGAGTCTTCCAAGGCTGACTGTAAGAATGAACAAAAAGATTAACATTGACAGAAAGGAAGTTGAAAACCACATTTGAAACAAAAGCCCATTTAAGGAGCACAGTGGGAAGAGAAATTCCAGCTTCCATTGAAAGGTGGTATTTTAGAAAACTACTAGAAGCTCTCAAAGACAGGGACTGGAAGGACAGGAGAAGAGACACAGCACTGTAAGAGGTGTGCGTGTGTGCTGCTGCATGCACACACACGTGTGTTCACAGCAGCCTTCCAGCAGGCATCACGCTCGCTGTTGAGCGGGGAGCCCTTTGGGCATCCTTCCAGTGCGAAGTGTGAGTAGAAAAACAGGTAACGCTAATCACTGTAATAACACAATAATGATCCACAAAATTATCCTCTTCAATACCAGCGAGAGGTATTGAAAGCCATGCCCAAGGGAAAAGGGAGATGCGAAGGAAGGTGAAAAACAAAAGGGAGGTGGAAGAGGGATGCAGAGTGGGACAGAGCAGCGCAGGAGACTGGTATCACAGAGGCTGCCGTAACGTCAGGTCTTCACAGCTTTAGTGTTACTGGAGAGTGTGTACGTGTGGAAACCCAGTACTGCCACCGTGTCGAAACACACTGCCAAACACCACTGCTGCTCTTCATTTGTGCTCGTTGTGAGACATCATTAAGATCATTTATGGAAGCAGCAGTATCCAAACCCAATTTGAGGCACAATGATTCTTCTCAAAACAAAGCCACAGGCAAGGGACTATTACAAGCTGGCAGAGCAGCTTTAGCCGGTAATTGTTTAGGGGCAAAAATGTGTGCATTTGTATGCAATGAGAAACAGGCTAGGCTTCTGCTACGTCTATACAGCAGCAAGTTCACGTGTGTTTGCCAGGGCAGTAAACGTGTAAATGCAGGTGTAGGCAGTAGATTTGCACAGCGTATTTCTGTAGAAAGGTAGATAAAGTGCACCTAAAAAAAACATGATATATATAGACATAAAGAGGAGATGTGCCCTTTGTTACAGCATGAGAGGAAGCAGGCATTAGTGTGAAAAGATTTACAAGAAAGCAAGAAACACAAAACCATTTTGGAGTGGCTGTGCATGCATACGTGTAAAACGTGGGAGAATTAACATCCTTGTACACCTTACAGTGCACATATGAGGGCAGGAATGACATGCACCTCCCTGGTGTAACTTCAAGGCACCCATACGTGAGGACTTACACACACACCTACGTACACAGAGAAAACAAATACGTGTCTTGACCAGGTGTCAATACAGGAGGGAATGCACACAATCTCAGGGTGTAAAAGCATGGACATCTACGGTGCGTGAGGATGCAAGCGTGAAAGCATACCGAGCTCTGGCACTGCACGCGGGAATGAGAGGGAGGGCATGCCAGTGTTTCTGGCGCATGCTCCAACTTCATCCTGGGCTTTTTCCCTTCCTGCTTTAGGGTTTTTTTTCCAAGCAGAGCAGACTTGATGTCTATAGGGAAGGTGCTTAATGAATCAAATCCAATCTCTCAAATGCCTTATCAGTTGTGGACAGGCTTGTTTCTGACAGCTGACCTTTCCCACTGCATGTTGCTGAAAAACCCGTACACCACAAACAATTAACAAAATGTCGAAAACAAAGCCGAAGGAAGGGAATACTCTAGATCGTAACAGACAGCGCTACAGACATTTTAAAGAGTGATGCACATGAAAATGACAGAGCAACTATGCAAGGGTTTGATTCCACCTTATTTTGCCATGCACACACTCTATTGCCTTCTTTACAGCTTGGCTGTAGCCAAAATCATAGAATCATAGAATCATAGATTGGTTAGGGCTGGAAGGGACCTTCAAAGGTCATCTAGTCCAATCCCCCTGCAAGGAACAGGGATATCTCCAAAATATGTGCAAAAACAAGGCCCATGTAAAACAAGAAAGAAAAGCAGAGAGAACAGAGAACACTTGTGAAGAATGTAATGACATTAAGCCCGTGCACAAATAAATACATCTGTATAAATATATGTAAAGCTGATAGAAAGAGCAAAGTTCCTCACTAGAAAACAAAAGCACACAGAGCAGAGGAGGTGAAGACAAGCATCACCCTGCCATCCTATACCTCTGCTGTTGTCAGACTAGTTCCTTGAGAACTAAACTGAACACACCTGAGTTAGAAACCTCAAAAATAATATAATCTAACAGGCTATTCTAATAACAACATCTAGGCTCATCCCATGAAGAGTGCAACTCCAATTCCAAGTAAGGAGGAGAATGCTTCTCTTGGAAGGCACAATCACCTAAACAAAGTGGATGGTCTAATCAGTTGTCCAAAGGATTTTCTGCCCAGGAAAGGCTCAGAGAAAAACAGCATGTTCTCAACTCTGTTGCCAACTCATTACAAGTCCTGGGGAAACAATACATATTGCATTTTCTGAAATCTCTCTTCACTAACAAAATTTTCTCTACGCCACCAACATGCTTGAAGATCAAGACCAATACACCTCAAATTTCAAGAGCAAATCCTAGGCACTCAGAATTCACATGTTAATTTGAAAAAGTAGATGTCAGTCTTTTGCACAGTAGTCTCCCTGTATGCGCAAAAGACACCACAGTCTACTATTATCAAGCGTTTTAGTTTTTTAACTATTTTTGCATTGCAATAACAGAAATAGAGATTCTAAAAGGGACATGCACTTCCAGCAAAACAGACTCAGCTTTCTTAAAGCAAAACAATTTATTAACAGTTACTTAAAGAATAAAGACAAGCAAAACCAGTTACTTAAAAGGATAAAAAGAAAACAAGGCCAGATCTTACAAACAACAACTCCTCACCCCCCTTTCCTTTTCTTCCTGGCTCTACCTCCTCCTCCCAGCTGCACAAGGGGACAGAGAATGGGCGAGTGCAGGTCAGTTCATCCATGTTGTTAATGCTGCTCCTCTCTTAAAGGAGAAGGAGTCCTTACACCATTTTCCCTTGCTCCAGTGGATCCCCTACTCACGAGGAAAATCCACAAACTTCTCCAGCGTGAGTACTACCCGCAGGATGCAATCCTTCCCCATCAGATTGCTCCAGTGCGGGCTTTACCACAGTCTCGGATTCTTACGGAGTTGTTGCCACTCGCTCCGGCGTGGGTCGTCATATAGACTCTAAACGCGTCTCTACCTGTGCCCATGCTTCACAACTGTCCTCAGCCTCAGGCATCTCCTTTAAACATAACACCTCCCCATTAACAGGGCGTCATCCCACGGACTCTAGATGCGTACCATCCTCAGCCCCATGCATCTCTTCTCGACATGGGTTCTCCACGGGCTGCGAGTGGGTCTCTGCTCCACCGGGACTGCCTTTGGCTGCAAGGGGACCGCCTGCCATCTTGCCACCAGTTTCAGGGGAAACTCAGCTCTGGCACACCTCGTCCTGTTCCCTCGTCACTGACCCAGTGTCGGTGTGGCCGTTTCTCTCAGATTTCAGTCCTCACTGGGTGAACTCGGCCCAGTGGGCACCCCGAGAGCGAGGCTCTCCCTGAGTTCCCCAAGTGGCTCCGCTGCCGCCACCATCCTCAGTGGGTGGTGAGTGCCAACCCGGCGCCGGGGAGTGGGGGCAGCGTCCCTCTCCCCTCTCCTCACTCCTGGGCAAAGGCACACCTTTCCGGTTCCTTTGTCCCAATGTAAATAGGGCAATTCGCAGAGGTGCCGATTGGCTCAAGCCCCAAGGGTGATGGAAGTCTGATCTGGTGGCCAGCTCCTGCCACCAGAACCTCCCCCCCTACATCAAACCATGACAACACAGTATCTAATTAATACAGGCACTTGTGGAAAACTAAGCATGTTTTTGAAGATTTTTATATGCAATCCAGACAAGAATGAGAAAAAGGAGTGAGTTAAGAGGTACAGAAAGTCATCTGAGGTCAGAGAGTGGGGGAAGCTGAACAACAGTGCAATAAATGTTTCAGTTTAGCATCTCTATCTGGTAAAGATGATGATGAACAAAAAAAGTACTTGGGCAAAAGTACTTCAGGTAATCACTGGAAGTGTACAAGATCTCTTCAAACACCACCAAAAAGATTTTGAAAACAAATATTTCATCATGGTGGAGGTTATTTGTATTCAACTGAAAAAGTTATATCATGATTGTAATCGTTTCTTGGCTATTTCCATATGGTCTTTTGATAAATATGTATTTATTTCAATACAATAAAAATTCATGCTCAGTACATACTGTAAATCTCTAAAAATAGTTATCAGCTCACCTGTTCTCATAAACTTCTGAAATTATCTATGCTATCTAGAATAAAGATCATAGCTATTCTATCAGCTCATTCAAAATTAGTAACTTCATATCATCAATGAAGTGACTTTCTTATCTTGATGTGACAGCACCAAGAATTAGTCCAGCTCAAGTTCAAGCTACTGGGTAGCACAATCTTATTAAAGTCTTGCACAAGCTATCAACATGTGATATCAACTAAAAAACAATAAAAAAAGAAACCACCAACAGCCAAATCAGTGCTTCTCTTCAGTACTATAAGCCAAACCCTGAACCCACCAGCCCTGATAAAAATTAGGAGTAATTTTATGGTAATCAGTGAAGGTAAACTGCTGGATGTAAGACAGCGATCATGCTGGTATCTGTGGTAGTGTTATTTTTCCTAGGCCTGTTGCTAGAAGGTCAGAAATGATGTAATTCTTACTCTTACAGGTAAAGACCAGCTGCTTTTAAAAATGACTTTTCAAATCTCCCTGCAGGAAATGTGACACAGTCCTTGTGTTACAACTACTGTTGAAAAAACGTGTGTTTCTCTTCCAGTTCAGAAAGGCACTGCTGTTATTTTCCTGGAGTTGCATTCACCCCATATGGGCTTGACTTGCGTGGTTTTGTGTTTTGGGATTTGTTTTAAATAGCAAAGACACTTATTCTAATCCAAACATTAGGGGCATTCGTATATTTTATGAATATTTTCCAATCCCTGTTTTACCGCAGTGTTGTGCCTCTTCAATCTGTTCTCCACACTTTAACAACTCCATTAACCCACCGCCACCAGGGTCTTGCCATTTTCGAACTGAAAGCTGGTCAGATGTTTTGGGAAGGAGGGATGACAATTATGGCCAAGACCCGCAGGGCAAACCCTTGTGTATCCTTGTATATGGCCAAGGTGAGAGATCATTGAAGCCCCTGCTATATGGAAAGGATCTCTATTTTTAAAGAACAAGACAATTCTGAAAATGGACTTTGCCAGAGTAACCTCCAGAGCCTCCAGGTTAATTCTCTCTTGAAAACTACCTGGTCAAATGTGCTCAGTTCCAATAAAAATCTGTGGCTTTTTTTCCCTGTAACTGCTAGATCTGCCACTACTTTGTGGAGTCACAGACAAGCTGGGATCTTTTATACACGCTATCTCTAGGAACAGGATTTTGGCAGACCAAGTTCTACTCACACCTTCATAATGCCATGACCTCTTATGGGGCTGCTGAAGGAGGACTCTTGACAGAATGTGGCCTTGACATTGTAATTTTAAAAGATAATCTGTTAATACATATGTCAGAACAAGGTATAACTTATTTTCTCAGAGCGCAGAGTTAAGAAAAATAAAAGGGGGGAAATTATATATAATTATATTAATTTATATAATTGCTCTATCTATATATAGATATACATGCAGTTTTATCCTTACACTCAGGCAATTAGATTAAAAAAAGAAATACAGAATCTCCATTCAATGTTTTTTCCCAACTTTACACAATTTTGTCTTGTTTGTAACAATACTTCAATCCCATAAACAAAAGCAAACTGCGTAACTCCCCCATCTGCTGGCCACAGAGCATTACAGTTGTTCCTGCTGCTGTCTATACACTTTTCTGGAGTATCACTTTCTTTGTCTTACAGGTGACTAGCTAGATTTCAAACTTCTCTGATCTGCTTTGCTTGACCATACCATGATGCATAAATCATAAGACAGTTGGTGCCCCTCTCACCAGCAACATCTCCTTGAATGGCCTCTACAATAAATGCTTGTTAAAAAAAAAAAATTCAAGTTGCAGAGAGATCAGCAGACAAATGTTAGTGCTGACCTTCAGATTCCATAGCATCTGGCAGAATAAGCTTTTTGGCCCTTAAGATTTTGTTTCTCAATGGAGGTGAATTAAGAACTCATTTTCAAGCTCTTATAAGAACTGTAGCAACTCCACAAAGTATCTTTAGTCCTGGCTGATCCTAGTGTAGTTTATATGTACTGAAATTGCTTCATTTGGCGGAACTGAGGCTGCAAGGCTGCAAAAGACGAAAGTGATCCTTGATGGGAACTGTAATCATCAACATACTACAATTTCTGATAGTCATTCAAGCACCAGTCAGAACAGGCTCTGATGAAGGACGTGGGCAGTGTGGTCAGTCCTGCTTATCTTTCAAGGTGTTGCAGCCCTGCAGGCATACAAGCTTCCAGACTCCACCTGTGTCTGCTTTTTCACCTCTATAAAAGACAAAAAATTGCTACAACCAATACATAGAACTCTTTCAGAGCAGATTGTATTTTGTGCATAAAGCACCAACATTGCATAACCACTGAGGACTAAAATGCAGCTGGGTGTATGATCCTTCTTAGCTGCAAGGGGAGTCTAGAGGAGCAGAAAGAAATTGCAGCAATGAGAGACTTGGCTTTTGCACGCCAAGTAGTGCAAGAGTGACCAAGTCTGGACACTGATGTTTCTGTGCACTAGGCAAGTGTGTAGAATACAACACATCAGCTACTTCATGGTAGCTGCCCGCATGCATCGCCTTACCCTTCCAGTAAATGCAAGGCAGCTCACACCTCAACGTGAGTGTGCTAGGTTAGCTTGCTTTCCCTTAGAACACAAGTGTACACACATAGTTGTTTTGGAATAGGTAAATTCATAGTCTAGCTTGCTTCGGAGACATTTGTTATTATGGCAATAGCCTGAGTCAGCTACCTCCCTTCCAGCACCCCCACTCAGTGTTATTTCAAATTCTTTCGGTATTCAGGTTTTTCACTAAATCATTCTGGGACTCTTCCCAAGTTCCCTGGGTAGTGCTAAAGATGAATGCACTGTTTCCTGGGTTGAACTTCAAACGTCAACAGCTCCAGCCTCTTTCACCCCCTTAGTTGCACCTTCTGTGAATCATTAACTCAAACACAATCCATAACCTGTAACATCTGAGTTTATCAGTTATTTCCCTACTACTGCATCTGCCTGCCTGAACTGTTAAGCTTCCATCGGGATAAACATATGCCTCTGATAAAGGAATGTTTGTTTGCTAACTGCTTCATATTGATGTGTTTACAGTGAACACGGGCACAAAGGGAAGGAGAATAACAGATTAGGGACCAGTTCAAGCAGGTTATTTTTATAACACTTAATATGCATGTGGTTACAAACAGACTTCACGGCTTTATTTCGATGGGCAGAACCACAACAGGAAGAACTTTTTTTTTTTTTGCCATCTGGCATCACACCGTAGCAATCAGCTTTAAAGGCAGATACATGAGAAATAACTCATACTTGATGTTCCTGCTTGATTCTAAATAAGTCAAAATGCCCTTATAAAGTGGCCAATAGAAGCTCAGATTATGAAATCAACAGATGACCACAAGAAAGTACGTTCAGTCAATATTAGAGCATCATCTTTAACGCAGATTTTGCCAATCAATTTGCTAGATCTTACTAACAATCTGCTGGAGGTCTCTAACTTTGCCTTCTGCTCACTAGCATTCCTGTGGCCCACTCAGTGCAACGGGTTGTCCGCTTTGGAACAACCACATGGCTGCATGGGAGCAGGTCACTGGATGGGCCACTTATAAGCGATCGATATGTGATAAACCTGTATCACAAAACAATCAATGCAACTCACTCATTGCTTGCCTTAGCTGAAGCCAGCAACTGAAGGAACTATGGATATTAAATTCCTCTCCAGAGCAACTTTCTGAACCATGCAAGGCTCTGACATATGTCCGTTAGCCATCTGTATGGCATTTCAGTCAAAAATGACTCTCCTAACTTCAGACTCATCTCCTGCCTCTAACTGTTTTCTATTTAGGCTGTTACCGATGGACAGGGAGCACAAAAAACAAAAAGCGAAAGGGACAGAAGAACAGGCTAGTGACAGAAGACATTTTAAAAGCCAAAAAACGAGCCTGCCTTATCCTCCTAAAAATAAAGCCAGAGGAAGGGCTTGCTGTACAAGACAGTCTCTATTGTTTCATACGTGAATATGCAGCTTCCTGTGTGCAAGCATGCACATGGCTGGAGTCTCCTCTCTGTGGTGGAGCACATGGTGCCTTCAGGGCAGTTCTCATTAAACTGACATTACTGTCACGATGAATGCGGGCACCCAGGATGTTCCAGCAAAACAGGCATCCA